TGTGATTTCCTCCAGCTTTCTTGTGGTAACAGAGTCCAACTCCAGCTTTGCTGCCAATGGGGAGAAGAAACAAAAGATATTAAAAAGAAAAGACAAGAGTGAGAGAGAGAGATTTGTTGAGATAGAAAGGAAGAAGGAAAGCATAAAAAATGAAAACTCCTACTAAGTTGAATCAGAATCAGAATTGGAAAATTGAAGCTAAAAAGGCTTACATTTGCACTGCCCAATCACCAAAGAGCCTACACTCCTTTGCTTCTTAGCCCATCCTAAGAGATTCTTCTTCTTCTTCATCATCATTGTTGTCGTCATCAGACATTTCTTCTTTTTCTTCTTCTTCATCATCGTTGTCATCACCAGACATTTCTTTTTCTTCTTCTTCTTCAATGTCAGTGTTGCTGTCACGGTGAAATTTACAGAAGGTAGAAAGGACATCCTTTGCATTGGATTGGTCCCATTCCAATGATTCCCAACGTTCTTTTGTGTCTATCTTAATTTGTTTGAGGGAAGGAGGTTGGCCATTGTCAAGCGAGGAAAGATGTAGAGGAATCCTCTTTAGCTTCTTACAGTCGCGAATCCACAGATCGTTGATGGAATCACAAATCAACACACTGGAACTGCTACAGATGCTCTTCAATTCGAGCAATTGAAATAATCCTAACCCTTGGAGCTTGGGTAGAGTGATTTTTTCTAGGGCTTCTTTTTCTTCATAGGTCGATGATGATATCAGCTTCTCCATTTGTTCACAGCTATCAACATAAATACCCTCTAGAGATTGGAAGTAGCCAAGCAGCCATCCAGATGAGAATACTTTCTTTAATTTAGGGCACTCAACCACACGAATTGTTTTAAGAGAGAAAAAGTTGCTGGGAGGGGCTGATAAACCAAGAACTTCTTCACCAAACACGGATTTCAGATTCTCTAAGTCGTAAAGCTTTAGATGCTCCAGGGTTGGAAGTGGGTTAAACCCTGTCCAAAAAACACTCTCTATTTTTGGGCAGCCCTGAATTTGAATGCTTTTGAGGGAATCACAGATCAAGACAGTAGTAGAGCCACTGTAGATGCTCTTCAATGCGAGTAACCCCTCCAATATCACCCTTTCTAACTTTGGTAGAGTGAGTTTTTCTAGGGCTTTTTCTCCTTCTTCTTCATATTCGGACCATATTATCTCCTCCATTTGATCACAACTTATAACCTCAATGGCCTGTAGATTCTGGAGATACCGCAACAACATAAGCGGTAATAACTTCTTTATTTTTTCACAAAAACCAACTTCAATTTTTTCAAGAGAAGAAAAAGTGCCAGCTGGCAGCGGGGCTGACTTGACAACTGCTTCTACTGCCCCAACCACTGCATTCAATTTTTCCAGACCATAAAGGTATAGCGACTCAAGGTTTTGGAGCAGCTTTAAGCAGCGCGAGGAAACAACAAACTCCAGGCCATCACAATGATCAACGGTGCAGTGCCACAAGTTGGTTGCTTCTTGAAAGCCAGAAATGTCGTCCAAGCTTCTCACATCCCTACATTCCAAGATGTAGAAGCCTTGTGCATCAGATGGTAACCAATTAGGCTCCTCACATATATCAATATGACAGCATACAATTGATCTCATTACATTTGAAAAGGTTTCGTTATAGTAGTAATGATCATCTGCATGGTAGCTGCCAACCAAAATTCTGTATTGATTTAAAAACTTTCTTTCAGACTTAACAAAGAGCCTCATATCATCCAGCGTAGACAATCGGATATCAAGAGATTCCAACTTACTCAATCTTCCAATCTCCACCCATTTCAACGATATAGTCCCATCTACTCTTAAACACTGAAGTTTGGAGAGATTTCGTAGCAATCCGTCAGGTATATCAGATGACATTCTACCAAGCCAAAGATATTTTAGATTGGTTAACATGTTGAGACCTTGGGGTAGTTCTTTAATTGATGTCCCATAAAGGTTTAACTTTTTTAAGCCTCCAAGGTTGGATAAAAATGGTACCTCTTCTAAGGACTCACAATTCTCCAACAGTAGTGTCGTAAGGCTCTCTAATTTAGAAACAGAACTCGGCAGCCTATGTAGCTGGTGATTGCCAGAAAGATCAAGGATCTTCAGCCCAGGCATATGATCAAAAAAGGCTTCTGGAATTGTTGTAATATTGTTTTTGGACAACAACAAGGTTGTGAGCATTGGACACTTGGGAGACAACATACTTGAAGGAAATTCGCTTATTTGATTCTTCATTAGAGAAACCTTCAAAAGATTTTTTCTCCCTTCAACCTCCTCTGGTAGCTCTTCCAAGGCCATGCCAGCTTTCACCATGAATTGAGGATGAATAATCTTCAATGCCATTTCTCGGAGAAGATCATGCATACTCACCCAATCTTTGTTTTTGATTTTAACTATTTGAAGCTGTACCAGTCTACGTCCTTCATAATTTTTTTTAACTGATTCCAACATGCAATTGTCTATCAACTTCTGAATAATAGAATGGCCCTCACAAATCATTAAGTGCCGATACCCCCTTTCATCTGTTATAAATCCCTCCTCAATCCAAAACTCAATCAACTCCTCTTTTTGGATTTCATGATCCTCAGGATACATTGCACAATATAAAAAACACTTCTTGTATTGTTCTTCTAAGTGATCATAACTGAATTTCAAACAATCAATAATTTCTTCAGATTTGCCCAATTCTTTATCTGCCATCTCCCATGAGTAACGATCAAACTTTCCGCTCATGGTTTTTGCCACCACCCCGATAGCAAGGGGTAGACCATTACATTTCTTCAAAATTTGATTAAAAAATGGCTCTATATCACTTCTGAATCTGGGATGGGACTTCAAGTCACTTTCAACTTTATCCAAGAATAATGCTAATGCTTCACCATCTGAAAGAGGTTTCACATAAATCTCCTCACACCTCATTTGACGAGCAACCTCTTGTTGTAACCGTGTCGTGAGCACTAACTTACAAGCATTATTTCCAACTGGATCAAGGATTCCAACCTTTTCTAGAGAAAAACGCTCCCACACATCATCCAGAATTAAAACACAACTGCACTTTCGTAATCTTTGTGATATCCGTGCTGCAAGCTGGGTTTCATCTTCATCCTCATTGAGGTCAAGTCCCAATTTTCTTGCAATGTTCTTCTGAAACTTGAGAGTATCAAACTGCCTTTTTTGTTGGAGAACAATATCAAAGTTTTTCGATACTGTTACCCAAAGAACTTTCTTAATTGTGGGTTCTTTCAATAGTTGGTTGTGGACTTGCTTCATGATTGTTGTCTTGCCCACACCACCCATTCCGCAAACTGCAATTCTTGTAACCCTGTCTCCCCTTAATAGTTGCAGGATCTCTTCTTGCACCTCATTCCGTGCAATCCATTTTTCAGCAGGCATTGGAACTCCTTTTTTTGAGTGATCATCGATGACCAAACTCACACCAACAGAAGTGAGTTGTTTTCCTTCCTCAAGTAATTGCTTCAATTCTTCAATCTTTTCTTCGATGTTGGTTGATGAGGAACATTTCCCTGGGCTGATCAGATCTTCAACCCTCATGGTAACTTGTTGGCTTGCTTTCTTCAGCCAATCTTCGACTTTGTTCCAGGCAATCTTTCCAGGTTGCCCAAGCTGAGTCTTCAAATCAGCCTCAATTTTTTCCTTGACCTGCTTCACCTCCTTTTGCTTATCTTCAAATACCCTCGCACAATACTGGATTGAGTGATCATCCATGACCAAAATCTCACCAACATTAGTGTATTTTTCCCCTCGCTTAAGTATCCCCACTTCCAGTGCTTGAGTCTCTTTATCGAGCTTTCTTGATGAGCAAATATACGTGAAACAACCCCCTTTGCAGATCAGATCATCAATCACCTTTTCAGCAATTTCTTGGCGCGCATCCTCTAGCCAAGTTTCAACTTCCTTTTTTGTAATCTTTCCGGGCTGCCCAAGCTGTGTCATCAAGTTTGCGTCAACGTCATCTACTCGGTCCTTCAGCCGCCCTTGCTTTTTTTGGAAGTCACTCACATAATTGTTGTGATATATCTGATACTTGACATATCTCC